AAAACAATCCTGAAATTCTTTAGTAAATCACCATTAATTTCAAAGTAAAACCAATTAACTGAAACAGTTGCTACTATGAGCAGCTCAGAAGGCAGATTTTTGAATGGAATTTAATAAATTAATTCAACAAACCAGCAAACAACTTAAAACATAAGTGACTTTTCAGATTAAGCTTTGTCAAACTTTTGTCAACTTTTTAGAGTCCCATTTTAAAAAAGGCTTTCTTGTTTCTTAACCCTTTAACATCTTAGGTTATATGGATAAAAATAGGAAAACAGTAAGTGGTTTATAGACCTTTGAAATCTACCTTAAATGTCTGCCAATGTATTTGGCAATACTGTAAGTTTGAACAGAGATATCCAACCATTTGCAAGTTTTGTTACTTCACAATTAAATATATGGGGCCATTAGTTATGATTCACATAGTATATGTTTACACATATTGTACTTTTTTCTCTAGGAGCTGAGAGAAATACATAACAAACAGCAACTACAGAAGCAAAAGAACTTGGAAGCTGAGAGGCTGAAAAAGAAGGAACAAGAAAGGAAGACAGTAGAACTAGAAAAGCAAAAAGAAGCTCAAAGGTAATAAACTGCTCTAATTTAAACACTTTCTGTAGAGATGCTAGAGTGCAAAGCATTTTGCAAACAAGTAAAATAAACTTTGCATTTCCAGGAGCATAATCTGATCTCAAATAATATATCGCTAAATGGCAAGAATACCCAAGACCTAGACCAAATTTCATTTCAGTGCAGATGATTCCTCTTAAAACTAGGGGAATCTCTTGATTTGTCCTTGAATGAGAAGTGTGCTGTGGAGATGAGCTTCTACATCTGGCTGTGACTCTTAACTCTCAGCGATACATACAGATTTCAGCATGTGTAGTGTACTTCTACACCTAGAGAGGTTCTTGAACAGTGTAACTAACTAGCTCTGTCTCTTATACTAACATTAAATACAGAGCTAATGTTTTTCTGCTACACACTTTGTTTTTCTACATTTTCAAATTTGTTTTTCTACATATATTTATAATATATTTATGTAAAATGAATGGCATATAGGCTAGCAACCAATTCTATTCTGACATCATTTATCAGTAGCTGTTTTATTTAATTTTTAGCAATTGTGGGGGTTTTATACTCTTAATGTAGACAGATGTTGGTCAAGAGATGAAAACAAAGGCCTGAGAACAAAGGGTCTTAAATTTATTGGTTATAGCATTACATGGACTGTGACCTAAAGCAAATTGATAGCCTGTGTTACTATTTGATGAGTCAAGTTAATTTTTACATTTCGGGCAAAAACGAAACAAGGTCTCAGTGAAAACCATATCTTCAAACAGAAATCTTATACACAGAAAGCAATTAAGTTTACACAATTCTTAAATCATTTGCATAAACCCTATACCTTTAAAAATCTTAAAAATCAACTTCAGAAATAACAAACTTTCTAAGAAAACAGCTTTCTGTCACGAAGAAATAACTACATTAAATATGGTTATTATGTTGGAACTTTCCTTGAAAACAAGAAGGCTGCTGAGGTACTGGGAGTATAGGAACACTAAAAATAATCTATTTCAGAATATTAAATAAAATACTCCACTTCCTTCCAGAAAAATGGAAATTTAAAAAACAGATTTAAAAAAGAAAAAACTTCTGTCATGGAGAAACTTCATGTCTGACTTTTCATGCTAGCTGAGCATTCAGACATGATTGGTAATGTAAAACTTCATGCCGCCCAAATATTCAAGTTTCTAAATAATCGTAATTGGTATACCTGATAATGAGCAGTATGCCAGTCTTACTGAGTTCCAACAGACACCAAAATGAATAAGGTAAATGATTAATACTCATAACGTGGATACTGCCCCATAATGATTGTGGAAGTATGCTGCCTTTTAATAGCTCTAGTGAAAGCAAAGCAAGAAAGAATAATCTTAAGATCATAATTATGTGCACTTTAACCTTTGGCTTAATGGATAACCACAATCACTTTATACTGAGAATCATCTTACAAATTTTTTCTTGGTAATCATGCACTGAATTGTGCACGTAACTTACTTAATTGAGCAAAGAAAGATACAGATATACATATTTGGGAATGGTAGAGGTCTTTTTGAAGACCTCTTACGGCTAATTAGTCTTAATTATCTTAAGGCTAATTCCATGCAGACTTGTATGATTGTGGGAGTAATAACACAGTTCAGAGTGGGGAAAAAAAACCCACATCTGAGTACAATGAATAGAGCTTACTCTTGGTGTTTGGGATAAGAACTGCCTGAGTGGTATAACGCAGTTGGTGAGAGAAAAAAGGAAATTGAAAGAGTAAAAGCACGTATAGGTAAATTGCAGATTAGAGGTCATATTCCACAATAATTAGCACGAGGAGTCTTGAAGTAAGGAAAAGAGCAGAATGTCAAGTTTTCTATTCCTAACCTTAAGCTGTGGAGCTCACACCTAGGCTTGTGTTTCTTTAGCTTCTCTGTCTCTTCTTATTCCCTTCCTTGTCTTCAACTCATGATATGAGCTTCCATAACAATCAAAGAAGAAAATTCCCCAGCTTCTATGGAAGGAAAAAAGAAATCACACATACCCCACACCCCCGCCACGATACATTTTTGTCTGCTCTTCTTGCTCCAGCAGTTAGAGCAAACTTGGTTTGTAGGTATGGGAATACTTAATCACTCTACTAGAAACATAATTAAAAACTCAATTTCCCATCTAAAGCCCATCTGACTAAACTCACTAGGTAGGACGCCACTCAAGTCAAAAGAAAATTGAGCTCTGTATGTGTTTGTGGTGCAGTTTCGGTGCTGCAACAAAACTGCTGAGTAATTGGCTCTGAATACTTTGCAAATGAACATACTGTTTAATATCTTCATAAGCGATCTGGATGACGGGATCAAGTGTACCCTGATGAAGCTCGCCGATGACACCAAACTGAGTGGGGAAGTAGACACTTTGGAAGGGAGAGCCGCCCTGCAGGAAGACCTGGATAGGCTGGAAGAGTGGGCTAACAAGAACCTTATGAAGTTTAACAAAGACAAATGTAAGGTCTTGCACCTGGGAAAACATAATCCAGGAATGCAGCACAGGCTGGGATCTTCCTGGCTGGGGAGCAGCTCTGTGGAAAGGGACCTGGGGGTCCTGGTGGGCAACAAGCTTAATATGAGTGAACAGTGTGCTGCTGCGGCAAAGAAAGCCAACAGGATGCTGGCTTGCATCAACAAGGGCATCACCAGCAGAGATAAAGAAGTCATTATCCCACTCTACTCAGTGCTTGTCAGGCCACACCTGGAATACTGCGTTCAGTTTTGGTCCCCGCTATACAAAAAAGGTGTGGACGGGCTGGAGAGGGTCCAGAGAAGGGCAGCAAAGATGATCAAAGGACTGAGAAGCCTGCCATATGCGGAAAGGCTGAGAGAACTGGGTTTGTTCAGCCTTGAGAAAAGAAGGCTTAGGGGAGACCTTATCACCATGTTCCAGTATTTAAAGGGTGGCTACAAAGAAGATGGAGACTCCCTTTTTACAAGGAGTCACATGGAAAAGATGAGGGGTAATGGGTATAGGTTACTCCTGGGGAGATTCCGATTGGACACAAGGGGAAAATTTTTCACAATGAGAACAATCAGCCATTGGAATAATCTCCCCAGCAAAGTGTTGAATGATATGAAGGACAAATTCAGCAGTTAAAGTAGGAGTTTATCAGAACAGTGAATTTATTAACTTGTGTCCTGGTTTCGGCTGGAATATAGAGTTAATTTTCTTCCTAGTAGCTGGTAGAGTGCTGTGTTTTGGATTTAGCATGAGAATAATGTTGATAACACACCGATGTTTTAGTTGTTGCTGAGCAGTGCTTACGCTAAATCAAGGCCTTTTCAGCTTCCCATGGTCTACTGACTGAGAAGGCTGGAGGTGCACAAGAAGCTGGGAGGGGGCACAGCCAGGACAGCTGA